CTTTACTTTTGGCGTCAAGTGCTGCATGAAACAAACAAGTACGCCGTGGCGAACGGCATTCGGCTGGCGAACCAGTTCACACTTGACGAGCTCATGATTTTTCTGGGCATTCTATTCTTCATGGCAACGAACGATAAAGGCGAGTACGCAAATTACTGGGGTCTACAAGCGGAGGATCTATTTTTTGGTGGTGCTACAACTTCGCTTGATGGCATCATGACGCTGCATCGCTTCAAGCTACCGCGGCGATGTCTGAGCTTCAATGCGGTCCCTAACACACTAGATCAAGATGCTGCAGCTCGCATCCGACCTCTTCTAAACCTGCTAAAGATCACTGGTGGCCAGTATATTCGCGTTGGTCGAGATGTTGCGCTAGATGAAGCAAGTGTTGCGTGCCGTTCGCGTCAAGGTCGCCACATGATCGTGTATAATCCCATGAAGCCTACTGGGAAATATCATTTCCGGCTATACATGGTGTGCTGCTCTACTACGTGGGTCGCGCTGAATTACAAACTTCACTGCAACTGAAGCGACATCTTGGACAGACTGAATGGTGTAGTTGACCAAGTTGAAGCGCAAAACCTGCGAGAGATGCTGGAGGAAGTATCTAAAATCAGACAGCATGTGTTGGAGGTAACAAGACCGCTATTCGGAACAAATAGGGTTGTCAACATGGACAACTATTATACGTCCGTGCAGCTTCTCCAGGAGCTCCGACTGAAAGGCCTCTATGGTCGCGGCACTATCCGTGCCAACAGCAAACATTTCCCAGGTCACACTATTCTTCACAAAGACGACTGTACCCGAGGGGACTATCGCCAAGCTGTCTCGCACGATCACAGCATGCTTGCAGCGTCATGGTGCGACGGTAGCGTGGTCAACCTTGTGTCCAATGCGGACTCAACGAACATTACAACTATCACCCGCATGGTTGGTAACGAGAAGCAGTCGTTTCCAGCTCCAGAGTGCGTCGCTCAGTATAATACCAATATGCAAGGTGTTGATCGCCTTGATCAAATACGCGGGCGATTCTCTACTGCAGATGGTCATTCGTACAAACGCTGGCACAAGAAATTGGCGCTCGCGCTCATCGATGTGGCGCGCTCCAACGCGTATCTTACGCGACGTTTGGTACAGGCGGAGCCAGCAACGCGTGATCTCCATAGAAAGTTTGTGATGGAGCTAGTTGGTGAGCTTCTCAATGAACAATGGAAGAATGCACCCAGCGACGGTCGCATGCTGTACAGCGGAGAATTGGGTGACGGAGGAGAAGGAGACCAACTCGACACGCCCTCTTCCCAGCCTTCTCCTAGTGTAGTTGCTGTGCTCCCGACAGCTGCATGTACTTCCGTGGCTTCGAGGCAAATATATGCCGAAAAGAGCAGAAAGCGGCGCCGCTGTATTGTTTGCCGATGGGAGGGACGATATCCTACCGAGGTAACCAACTATTGCCTCACGCATGGTGTCTGTTTGTGCCGAGTTGTGCACGACCGCCCCGCCAAGCCATGGATGTGTCCGTCGACGACTTCAACGTGCTGGGATAAGTTCCACCAATTCTACTACCCTAACGCATTGTTTACAGATAAGGGAAATGTGAGGCGACACTCCAAACTCGCTAAGTCGAAGGATGCGCACGAGCCCAGGTCTCAAGTAGCAAGGCGGTCTGCTACCGCTCGCCAAATTGCGTACGGGGCAGATCTCGGAGGTGCCGTCACTCACGCACTTGACAACGAAGGAGATGATGCTACACAGGGTCTTGCTGCTTTCGGGGTTAGCGGTAATACTCCGCCAGGGTTGGTTGCGTTTGGCAGTGGCAATCTTTCGACTGGACTTGTTGCGCCTGGACCAGACGGCGACAGCTGTTTGGATGATAGGCCTGAAAGTGTGTTGGCTAGCAGACGTAGTGGTGCCCGTCGTGATGATCGCGAAATTGGATGCACTAGTGAACGTGGTGGTGAAGCCCGCCGACGTGGCCGTGGTGCCGTTCTCACAGGCGGCGAAAACACACACGACTTGATGGCGGCGGTGGAGCTCCCAGACTTGCCTTAGACGACGAGCGCGGACTTGGCCGTGACGACGCGCGCAGACTTGGAGACGGGGGGGGCTCGGACTTGGTGGTGCCGCTGGTGCAGCTGGTTCTGTCGGCGGCGCACGTAGCCTTGGTGACCCTAGCGGAGTCGGTGGCAGGCTAAGTGCTTCTGCTTGCACAGACAGCGAAGATTGGCGCGGGCTTGGTAATGCAGCACATACAGTTGGTAGCCGTGGCGCTCGCCGACTTGTCAGCGACGACGCGCGAAGACATGGAGGTGGTGATGATCACAGACTTGGTGATGGCACCCGCGGACTTGGCGGTGCGACTGGTACAGTCAGTGACGGCAACGCTCATGAGCCCGGCGGTGCTCACGGAATCGGTGGTGACTCGCATGACGTATGGGCTACTGCTACACTCGACGTGATGATACTGCACCTAGCCGGGTTGCTGCTGCCGCACGCAGACTGGGTGGCGAAGCTGCATTTGCTCTTGGTGGCGGGACTCATGAGCATCGAAAAGACTCTGATTAGAAGCAAGTATGAGATAGCAGAATGGATCAAAGTTTCTTACGGTATATGTAAATGGGATGAGGTGTAGCCTTCCAGCTACATTGTACTTCTAGTTGATGATCCAGTTTCCAACTCTTGCAGTACGGCTCCGAGCACGATGATCGATGTCTAGGGCAGAAGAGCGACGTTGAAACTATCACCCGTGCCTCTGGCATTGCGCTTAGCTCTCGTGAAACAATCAGCTTAGCATCTTCTTCAAATAGAAAGATGTTAGCAAAGACAATGGTGGCTTCGCAAATGGGAGTATGCCGTGACATCGAAACATCTCTTACATCGACTTGCTTGAGCAGCACCTTACTGAGCCGTGGGTACTGCTTGCGTAGCTGCTGCATGCAACGTCGTCCAAGGGAGACGAGGTCCCTTCGCACCTCGATCCCGATGCACGTTCTGACTTTCGTTGTAAGTGCTACCTGTGCAAGCACGTTGCTAACACCAGCTCCAACGTCAAGGAAGACATCAGCTTCGCCGAGCGGTCCGACGACAGCAAGTAGAAGGGTGACACCGGACGGTAGCACCTCACCAGCATTGTCATATGTGCGCCCAGCGGGCTGGCGAACGTCGTGAGCGCTTATACTTCCGAAAATTATATCCACGGCTTCGGCAGCTTCAGTTGAGTCCAGATTATCTCCACAGCCCCCAACACCAGCACCTACTCACACAGGTTAGTATTTGCCGACGTCATTTGTGGAACAAACAATCCGAGACTCACCTGAAGCGCTTTTCGCCTGAGTCACCTGTGGTTGACGGCATCCCCCGCAATCTCGCGCAATATAGCCGCCTGCGGGTCCTGTATCCTCACCTCTGCAGTCTTGGTTTCCCTGATCCACGTCGTCTGTCACCTGACTGCCTCCGGCGGCGCTCCCATGCGTATCGCCACCAACTTATCGTCATCAGTCTCACGAAAGGCATGCAAATATCCCCAAAACAGACAAACCTGGCATGCGGCGATCGCCGCCGAGAAGTAGAGAATTTGACGGAGTAGCAGAAGGTCGGCATGCTGGTTTTACGACCTGCTGCAAAATGAGGAGTGGTGGTGGTGGTGACCTCAGCGCCCCGAGAAGACGCCTTGATGGCATGCCGCGGAGAAAACATGGCGGAAAGCCACTTATCGCTTTTCCGTAGGTCCGCTTGAGGCTAGCCAGCCGAAGCCGCAGTTGACGGGCCGGCCGCTTGGTCTGCATTCGGCGGGCCACGTAGGCTCATGTGATTCGTAAGCCCTCCCTTTCGAATTGGAAGGCGATCTGCACCAGCAGCTTATCTTCAGTGTCTGTGAAGGTAGTGCGCATTAGTCTTGAGTACACTATAGAAAAATCGGAGGTCGGATAGGTGCATTCGTCTTGCCTTTTGTATGTTCTGGTGACTGGCTGTCAGGCGATTGACCGCTAGATCCATGGTACGACCGCGTAGAAAGGGCCGATTACGATCGTTGGAGCAATAAAATACTCTGCGATGACCAGACGATCCAAAATTACCCCCAACCTCTTTCTATTCACAGTTGCGATTGGTAGTTATGAAACACGGTTGACAGAGCTGGAGGAAAAGCTAAAAGGGCGCAAAATTCGCCCTTTTACAAGCCCCTTTTCCACCTTGTTTTGGTAATGGTGTTGAAGGGCGAAAAATGCGCCCTCGCACCGCGAAAGGTTAAATAGCGCTAGCACTAATTTATCGTGTGAAGGTTTCGGTAGATGGGCACAAACGGATTTGGAAGGAAAAACAATGTGGATTGGTTTTGATATTTTTCCATTACAACTTTCACTGTATTAAAGATTCCCACTTGATTATTTTAGTGTGTACCGGGTGCATCAACACAAATTGAATCAGTAAACATTACGTTTACTGTACAGTATACCCGATGTCTTTCGTCAAATATGTCGTGGAATCGATTTTTTCAAAAGTGCTGCCTGACGATTTCCTTGGGATTCATCGATAGTTTAAAAATGTTTTCTTACCTCGGGTTGTGTTCTCAAACAGACGATATGGATTCAAATTCAGGCAGTCATATACTTGCAGGATAAGGTCAACGACCACTTTGGTGCCTTTTGGACTATGTGTCTCACAAAAAATATATCTCGCTAAATATTTGAGCACACTAGCTCGTCTTTCCCGATTCAGGTTTTTGTTTCTTACTGTTGTGCTGGAGAAACTTCGCAGGATGCCGTCCGAAATATCGTCAATATATACTTCGAGCGCCATTGGTATACGTACTACCATGCACTATTACTGTAAGTACAATATTACATCGTAATATATTAATAGTAAACGTTTGCTTCATTATGTTTTTGCGATAGAACCATTTGAGCATTCGACAGCTATTAATACCCCAGCCAAAAATGTTTCTTTTGTTAACTCGTAGTATGACCGAAACCTTCCAAGTGGTGCCACGATGAGCCGCTGCAAAACTACGAGAGTCCTTCGCTCTTGAGCAGCTTGTAGACTGCCCGTTCGGAGGTATCGCCCCATTTACCAGCTTCCTTCAGAAGAGGCTTAACCTCGGCAAGAGAGAGACCTTCATTTCTCCATCGATTCAAAATGGTTTTACCGTTAGAGATTGCGCTAAGTCTGCTCATCAGGGTGGAGTCCAGGTTGTCAGAAATTCGTTTGGCCATCTCTCTGGCTGCACCTTCAGACACCAGGAAAGGAAAGTCGTATCTACCCCTCTCCTCTTCTTCAGTTTCAGGACTTCTCAGGAACCTCGCACTCTTTTGGATGGCTGTATCAACTGGCTGTACCGAAGCTGGGAGGCCCGCGGAAAAGTGTTGAGTCAACGTGCTAGTAGAGACAGCGCAACTACTAGCAGTGATCGCAGCGGCGACGCCAATAAAGATGGGGCTCAGACGCATTGTGAGTGTACCAACTATTTGGATGCCTGGGTATCGGGGGGTAAATTGAGGAATGAGATCGAAAAACTAGCAACGAACGGCAAGCTGCAATTGGTATACAACAAAACTCCCACTATTATGCTACTGTGTATTACAGAGAGAGTTTGACCAGGCGATCCTTCCGATCGCACTCATATTTAACTAACGGATGATAGGAAGACCACTTCAGCGGATAGCTCGCTATGATTAACAGTAAATATCCGGTTCTACTAAAAAAAGAACCAGATTAATAATTGAACGTGTAAGCACCGAGCAAACACAGGATTGGATCGGAGCGAATCTCTCGTACAGTTTCGCACTAAATCAAATCTCACATAAGGTTAACTTGTTAACGCAATTTGTGATTGCTGAGCGATCCTGAATTATGATGGATGAAGTTTTCTTATCCTCATGATAGCTATCAGAGGACCCTTATTGAATAATTAACTCGTCTCGCGCGTGAAACCCGCGGAGGAGGGTACCTGCCCGAAGATAGAAAACATACTTTAATCCCGTATAACTCAGCACCTATGCGAGAAGGTTGGCGATCATGGCATGGTTTGCTAAATCCCGTTGACAACCCTGTCAATGATTAGCAGGAGTTTATTATAGTAAAACCTTACTGTACATGAACACAGCTGTTTAATAGTTTTTCAACCCTTTTCCAGCGCCAAACCAATCAAACAGGCACGCAAAAGTACAGGTATTTCTATACTCCACGAACGTTGACACTACTATATCATGTGGCTACGGTAAATATACGATCATAATAACTTTTTGCAATGTTGACGTAGCCATGCGACCACAAAGCGCGCATGCGAAGTAGCAGCAAACCCGCTCGATATGTGAACACCTGACACAACATGTATACTCGTAAATTATAGGGATAAGCTATTCATTGTCAGGCGACTAGATGCCCGAAATGAATTTGTTAGGATATGCAGCGCTTACACGGAATCATTGATGCTCCCAATGGTGCAATACGTCCACGTAATCGTGGCGCAATCGTGGCGAATAGCACCCTTCTCCCTTCCCGAGTCGCAGAAATGCTGCATGGTTATAAGATGCATGTAATGAAAGCGATAATTTGATATAATCAATTGCCTTGTTCCTATAATCGGGAAGCAAAAATAGTAACTTACTTTTCTAAAATATGAAAATAATTATTAAATACTATTTTTAGCTGGTAGTTTCAAACCTAACCTAAAGTGCACGTCAACATTGCTGACATAGATTACGATCGGCAATGAGGTTCACGATAATGCGACCCACGCATGACCGCCAACCTCCATTGTCGATCTCGCATAGGTGCTGACTTATATTGTTTTAAATATGTTGTTTTTATCTCCGGGCAGCTATCCTCCCCCGACGTCTCCGGAAAAGCGGTTTCACGCACGAGGCGAGGTTATTATTCCATCAGGGTACTCTGGCAGCTATGTAGGATAGTTAAACTTCGCCCATCATAATTCAGGATCGCTCAGCAATCACAAATTGCGTTACTGTAACCAGTTCATCGTATGCGAGATTTGATTTGGTGCAAATACGAGAGATTCGTTACCATCGTACCAGTTACAGCGTTTCGATCCAATCCTGTGTTTGCTCGTAGTGCTTTGGTGCGTACATGTTCGATACGCAATGTACTGTACCTTTTCCCATCGATATTTACTGTAAATCACAGCGAACAATCGGTTCAAGTAGTCTTTCTACCGGTACCTTCCGCTAATCAGTTCTGAGTGTGATCTGCCCGGTTTAACTCTCTATGCTTGCGATCCATTGATCTCACTTCTCAATTATCCCCGTGCCCCCCCCCCTCCCCCCGTGCTCAACCCAGACACGAGAGATGCGTCTGAGTCCCATTCACCTTGTGGTCGCAGCTACGATCGTTGCTACTGGCTGCGCTGCCTCTGCTGCCACGGATTCGGACGGTCCTCAGCTTTCACCCGAGACCTCGCCGGATGCCGTGGTGTTGGCTGATACTATCCCCCAAAAGAGCGCGAGATTGCTGAGATCTCGCGATGCTCAAGAGGAGGAGCGAGTACACCCTTTGTTGATGCATGAAGGTGTTGCGGTCGCGATAGCAAAAAGTGTTAGTGCTGACTTGGACTCGAGGCTTATGGCAAAGGTTAGCCAAATCGACAACGGCAAGGAAATATTGAAGCAGTGGAGAGATAAGGGTCTAACGATTGCCAAACTCAAACCCTTACTGAAGAATACCAAGAAATGGAAAGCTACCCCTGAACGAGCGGTTTACAACCTGCTCAAGAAGGAGCGCTTCTCTTAGCTCTATCATGATGATAATAGGTTGATGTCTACAAATCTAAAAGCTGATTCGTCTTCATTCACTATGCTAGCAGCGTCTTAATCCACTTTTTTTTCCTTTGGAGGCAACTTGTTAGTTTTCGTAGCACATCTCCTCAAAATGTGTAATAGATAGCGGGCGGGGTTACCTCCGTTGTAGTAGCCCTACTGTTGTAGCAGACTTTGTTGATGAGACTGAGTTCGACAACTAGCCTCATCGAAGAAGAGCTGCCACGCACGGTTTTCTTCTCAAGTAGCGAGCCCTTGTACGTACGTGCCGGTGATGTGGGTTTGGTGGCGCGAGGCACATGGTTACCATCACTGCTCCCTGTACGAGCGAGGTGTTACATCGAGGTTGTTGGATGAGGTATACAGTCAACGAGGAGCGGGAATCCACGATCTCTCTTTTGTTTTGTTTGATTGCCCCACGAACTCGCAAACCAATGAGCCTGGATGAGTGTTTATTAACGGAGAAATCTAAACAAAATGACCACGGATATCTGCATGCAGGCTGTGTTATTAAAAGCAGTATCGCAAGGGACAACATGTTGGCTGTTTTGTCGTAGCTAAATCATTTGAGCTTGGTATAATGCGGAATGAACTGGTGTTGGCTGCGGGCAATCATTATTCAACAGTCTCTTTATATATCGCCTCGCTCGTCCCTTAGGTGGGCATGCTTCTTCTGGCCAGTTTTGCTTATTGGTGGATCAGTCATCGGATGAACCTTACGCCGCCATTTTTTTAAGAGTAAATTACAATTAAAAATTATTGTTTTATCGTGCACACCCTGTAATTGGTTATTCCACAGAAGTACGCAACTTATTCAGTAGTTTTTGTAATCACCTTTTCTTTAGCTGCAGTGATATTATTGTTAAAATAGATTATTATAGATTGTCTCGTTGGTAGAGAACGATTCAACGCAAATAAAAATACCTTCAGCAAATCAAACCGGAGTGTAAAAGAGAGTCGGTAACAGGTATTCCGGGTGATGATCTACATGTTCCGCCACTGCTGGATGGTAACCTCTCAGCTGAGAGCAGAAACTACCGGAAAAGTCGTAAAGATAGAGCACCGATGGAAACTAATAAATCTTTTCTTTTATGAGATTATTTCATATTAGGAAAGCCTTTGCATAATTCATAACAAGTTCATTGCTAGTGCATCAAAGTGCTCTATCATGACGACTTTTCCGGTACCTACTGTATATGTTTTTTTTACAGATGCACAGGCGTGAGCGATCACCCTCCCAGTTTTAATATAATGTAGTGTGAAAACCTGCTGGTGGGTGAAACTATAGTGGGCTTCAGAGCCCAACCATTGGCTGATGACATAGCTTCACAATAGGTGACTTATAGTTTGTATGTTTAGCTCGGACTTAGCCTACCAAAAATACATTCGGCTTGTAGCTTATTTTTAGCCTAGCATTAAGAGGCTCTAGCTGGTTACTTTGCTACTTTTGACAAAGGGACCTGCATAATTGCTGTTCACTGAGAATTTGTATTCTCTCGAAAGCCGATTTGTAATGGACCCTCCATTACATAGGTAGGTAGATTTCCTTACATAAGTAGGTGCAGCAGCATACGAATAGGTGTGTTAAACTGCTTTCATCCTATTACCTGATGGAGCCAGACCGATTATTGGCCAATTAGGCGATGACATGACTTCGGCTGTGGTATTGGTCACGAGCATTATTGAAGTCGAAAAAAAAAACGGAGGAGGACATTCTTCGCCGTGATACTATTAGAGGTATCTGCAGTAGACGAAACACGCAAATCCGAGTTTCTGCTCTGTTTCTTAGCCGTTGAGCTGGTCACCACGTTGGTGAAGAAAGCGAGAGCTACGAGAAGGAGGGCATAGCGGAGCTGGGCCATTGCTAACATCAGAGTGATTTAGCGCTCAGAACTTGTGAGGAAACGGGAAAATTGAGAAGTGATTCGTGTCGCTGGCAACAGTTAGTCGTAATCACTAGCTGTGATTATCACAGTGGTAAGACGTCTGTGGAAGTACAGTTCGAAGTAAGTATTATTGTGCTTTGCAAGTGGAAAGTCCCTCCGTTTCATAGAGTAGATCAAGCATGACCGGAACATGAAACCATGCATAAAAGTGAGATGGGAAGAGGTAGTTTATCTGTGATCGAAATACCTTTTCAAAACGTCAAAAATGGTCGCTTTACAGGCTGTCGATGTGGATTTGATGGTAGACCGATACCAAGCGGTCGATTTGGCTGCCGTAGCAGCCAGTCTAGCTTGACCGATTTGTACTTTCTATAAATCTCGATTTTAAAAAACGGACTCTATTTATTATGTACCTAAGCATCAGGCCAAGTGAAAAGGACAAATGCATTGAAATGCAAATTAATGTATGAGGATAAAAAATACTCTGCAAATAATTTTTACACAGACTTTAAAATTAACTTAAGCCGACTTTTAATTAGTTTAATCGTAGACTAAACGAATACAATTCATTTCGCAACGTGCCGTATTATCTTGTAAATGTTTGAAGCACATGATCGCTGAGTTATGAGCTAGCTACGCTGCTTAAGCGACATAGCAGCGACTCACATGGCAACAAGTGTGTCACTATTAGCTTGTGCTTCCACGGACGTGCTTCACATCTACACTATTTCGTTCCTTGATCGTGAAGGGCACGTAGAGCTCGTACGGTTTGGGCTTCTGCAGTCTGGACGTGCACGGAAATTGTTTCGATCCCTTGTCATTTAAGCCCGTCAACTCCACATCATATGCATCATCGTTTTAGTTCAACATGATATAGTGTAATGTGCTTAACGCACTAATTGAGCCGAGTACCATTCATCTGCTATATTTTAGTAATTATCAATCCGAGGAGATTGCTCGGCTGGGCTAGCGCTGATCACGCCAAGTGCGTCGATATTTGCTGCGCACTTTAGTATACTCAAAATGTAGGAGCTTTTAAAAGGCGTATGCTGTACAGTTTGCCGGTGCAGTGCGTTAGGCCAATTTGGGCTGGTGTTGAATTGCTGCTTGCGTTCTTGGAGGCACTTGCCAAAGTGAGTAGATTAGTGTTAGCCGAAACTCTTCTACATGTCTTTCTAAACAATACATTTCTATTGCCCCCCCTTGTTGTCTTCTTGTATATGTTTGTGCAAGCACCGCTCCTGTCGTACCTGAACCATCTATAGTGTAACTTCTGGCTACTGTCCAATCACAATCGCTCCTGATCGGGACGTAATCCGATCTGGGACAGAGCGGGACGGACCGTTATCCGATCGACGATCCGAACCGTAACGAAGCCGTGCGACGGCGGCGTACTTCAACACCTCCACTCACCGTTACTGCACGGTGACCTTCTCCTTGATGCCGCTTGCGCCACGCAGATACTTCAGTGTCTTCGTCCCGAGACCTTTCGTCAACATGTCGGCAAGTTTTGCTTGGTGTCAACATAGTCGAATTCGCACGTCCCCCGTTCTACGTTCTCGCGCGTGACGTGGTGTCTGATGTCCACGTGCTTAGTCCGCGCGTGATATCCAGCGTTCCTAGTCAACGCGAGTGCTCCATGCTTATCTATCCAAATAAGCGTCGCCCCCACTTCCTCTTGATCCATGGCCTTCAACATAGCACGCGTCCATAGCACCTTTTGCGTACACAGGCTCAGAGCCTTATACTCCGCCTCAGATGAGCTGAGCGCGACCGTCCTTAGGAATTTGGACTTGAACACCACCGGTGCGTCTCCGATCATCACCATGGCCCTGGACACCGATTCCATATCGTCGATGCTCGCTCGCCAGTCTGCGTCCGAGAATGCGACTGTCTCGATATTCTCCGTCACACGATTTTCCTGTCCGCGACGTTTCGCTCTGTTATTTTCCGTCCTGCAGGGTTCGGTCCTAGTATTTTCCGTCCCTCCCTGGTATACGATACAGTGCTCGCGTGTCGGCTTGAAGTACCTCGACACTCGGATAGCAGCTCGCTAATGCTGATTTTCAGGATTCGCGAGGAAGCGTGACAGCTGCGTCACCACGTATAAAATGTCCGGCCGAGTACATGTCGTTATGTAAAGTTGACAGCCGATAAGAAATCGGAAGGGTTTGGACTGCATTTCCGCTCGTTTCTCTTCTGTTCCAGGGGACGGCAGCTTGGACAACTTCAAATTGGCTGCTTACGGGTAGTCCACAGCCTTTGCGTTCTGCTGACCGAATCGCTCTGCAACATCATCGATGTATCGCGTCTGCTTAATCATGAGCGTCCGCGCCGTTCGGTTGTAATCGATCTCCATTCCTAGCATGAATCTGGCCGTGCCCAGCTCCTTTATTGCAAACGCGACCTTGAATGCCATCTTCACTTCTTGAATCTCGTCATTCATCCTGGCAGCAATGATCATGTCGTCCACGTACAAGCCCACGTAGATGAACCCGTTCCTGGAACGCTTCACGTAGACGCACTGATCAACCCCACAGGTCAGCGCGAGGAAGCCTAACGTGTAAATATTGGGGTATTCCGGGGATTAACAAAGGTTCGCACTTGAATACCTTCAATGAGCATTGTTATATGGCTGCCACTTTCGCGTAACACTTGATAGCGGGCTTGAGCCTACGCCACTCATCAACATCTCGATAAATGCCGAAATGTTTAAATCTGCTGCAGGTATTTTACAGTAAATCACCCCCTATTTCTTTTCTGCGTACTCGAAGCTGTAACTCTAAGTCTCATTTAAGTACGATCTACTCGGTGACTCTAACATTGACCTGCAACTGTTGAGCTCTGTTAATCTTAAGAAAACGTTGACTCTTACAGCAACATACAAGCAGCACCACAGTACTGTATCCGCCGTTGTGGTATTTTAAATATCGTTCCCTATGTCGTTTAATCAAATCCGTCTCGTGCCAAATCTCGTCATAGCCGGTACGCCAAGTTCAACAATCTGCAGTGTTACAGGTTCATTTATCCGAAGATTTGTATAGATTCAGTTTCGGCCAATGGATATTGATAAAGCTAAATTTAATTT